TTAATGTAATGTTTTTTTTAAAAGGAGGATATAAATTATCTCCCATGCTGTATTATAAAATGTTAAAGGCATGATATCATTTCTACGAAGATTTTTGACTACAATTTAATTAGATGGATACTAATGTAAAAGGGTTCATGCAAGAGATGATGATTAATTAAACAAATGACACTAAGATATGCATGTTAGTGGAAAAATTCTTTAATCCTTTGAAAGTTTCAATTATTAGTTTCAAAGATGATTTAGTCGTGTTTCTTTGTTGACCATTCTCCTCCCCATATAATTTCTTTAACAATATTGATAAGCTTGAATTCCTCGTGTGGTTGTTTTTCCGAAACAAACTAAAACAGAGAGATAATTGTTGATTTTGACTTGATATTAAAAGCAGATTTTAATCAAAATCAAACAGAGGCTTAGTTTATTGGTGATTTATTGAATATCTAACGCTACTTTATCGTGACAGCTATTATTTCTATTAAATTAAAAATTAAATATATTTTTTCTCCATTCCATTTGATGTTTAACTTCTTGTGGTGGATGATCGAATGCAACTAAATATCTACAAGCGTTTATTTTAATTTTAGTGCACCACTCCTTTTATCATATTGTATTGAAATCGATAACTCTTTTGCATGTGAGCTTTTCCAAGTCTGAGAAAGAACCAATCAAGTCTCGAGCATCTAAGTCATCATTGTTTGAATATTGTTCAATTGACATCACATTCACTTATTGATATGTATTCTCATTTCTTGCATAGTAATGAGGAAAAGTATGACACTTTTGTGCTAAGAGGGTGCTTAGTTTTTCCTTTTATCAATTATTTCAAGGCAGTCGAGGCCTTTTACAAAATTTGAAACAATACCATTGTTAAAGGCTCTTCCAAAAATAATAGCATGTTCAATAAATATGCCCCAGTTTGACAATCATTATTTGAAAACGCTTTTTTTTTTACATACTCATTTCTAACCAAACATTCACACAATAAAATATTGTGCACGTAAATCCAAAACTTTTTTTTACTTTTTAATAACACATTCTTCAAAAAAATACTATTCAAAAAATTTAGAATTATGCTATTTGTAGTCGCTCACTGCAGCAGTCGCCTTATGTGACACACACATATCAAGTGTGTATTTAATGCATTAATGTGGTAAAAAAACTACCACGTTAATGCATCAAAGAACTACATGTCATGTGTGTGCCACAAAATGCGACTGTTGCAGTGAGCGACTATAAATAGCATTACTCAAAAATTTATATCGTTAATACATTTATCATACACCAACTCATTAAAATCTTACTCTTTCAAAAAATTGAATAAATTATTTACTAGCCGAATTAGGTGTTGATCTCAGAAAACGAACTTAACATATGCTGGGGCCACTCGTGCATGCATAAGCCATATCTAGCACGTTAAGGCAGATCTACAGTCGAGATCGTTCTAAAGATTGGACGTGGGAGAAGCTCAACGACACGAGACATTTTCGTTCAGACTCCAACAGGATTTACAGAACAAGATTGCATAATGAACAATCGATAAGAGCAATGTTCGTAGTTGTAATAATCTTGATCGATAATGAAATAGGTTGTTTTGAGTATTTAAAATTTCATTAGTCTTCAATTGTTATATGGGGAGAGTATTTATAGTGTTACAAATGGAATGGTGACATTTGGATCAATTTACACATTGTCTCATCTCCTCGGCCAAAGCATCAAGTTCTAGCCATCAAATTGACATTCCTAACTTTTTAAAGCATTTAATGTTCTTACATTGACAAGATAGGACACAAATACACTGTTTAGAAATGTCACATCAATCATTCAAATAAAGAACTTCATCATGAACAAATTTTTGCACGTGGACCGTCACTAGCTGGGGTGGAGGCTCGGATCTGCTTGGCATCGAAGTCATGCCACCTCGGATTAGCAGCGGGTCTCGAAAATTATCCATGGCCTCGGAATGTCCACCTCGAATTGAGCAACGGGACTCAGACTTTTACCCCGGGACCTCGTATTCAAAGATGATGCTTCGATAGGAGTGGGTCGACTAGACCATGTGGGAACCTAAGTGACGAAACATAACATTAGATATCATAATATGTCTGATGCATAGAATGTTCATAAATAAATGATGATGAAATGAACTAAATATATTTATTTGTGTATAAATCGTTGCGCGCACACACAATTATGAAATGAAAACTATTCTTTTCTTATGGATTTTTTTGTTTGTTTATTGCTTTATTAGTAGAAAGAGTAACAAGCATTAGTACTATAGAAAGTTCTATACGTTACTTTTGCTTTTACTTGAAGCTAAACATTCTCAATAATTTTATGTAATTTCTTGGAATGTTCTTCCCTACTTTCAAAGTAACTATTTTAGTCACCTTTTTTTTCTTTCGGCACCAAAGAGAGGATTTATACATTTTTAAGTGAATATTTGGGCCTTCTTCCCTTTCTTGGCTTCACCTTTCCCTTACAATTATCCTAACATTAACATAATCAATCGTAATGTAAATAGACAAATTTAGTAAAAATAAAAAAATAGTGCTGGTTTGAAAGACTTTGCTAAAATTTTATTAATTTTTTTACTGATCTAATGTCAATTTTAACGCTTCATCGGTCCCACAATTTTTTAACAACGGACTTTATCAACTTTTATCAAAATATGCTTAAACTTTTAAAAAACTTTGTTACACGGGAAAAGTTTATGGCTCAAGTGTTTAGTTTGCCATTTTAAAAAATCAGGTGCTAAACTTTAAAATTGTAAAAATCAGGTTTCTACTTTTTATTAATTAATTAAATATTTAATTGTGTAATTTGATAACGTATATCTTATTAATTAGTTAAAAATTAATTTCAGGTCACAGTTTATCAAATTAATTGGTATCGGATTATTTCGAGGTCACAGATGAAAAAATTTATAGGTCACAGTTAATTTCGTTGGTCACAAATCAAGAATTCTAAGGTCACACGTAATTTTTCATAGGTCACAGATTAAAAAAATTCAAAACTTTTACGGGTCACATGTCTATTTCAGCGAGTCACAGTCCCAATTTCTAGGTCACGGACACCCACAAGGTCACAGATTGAAAAAAAATCAAAACTTTTACTTGTCGCAACTCAAGTCACAATTACAATTCCTAAATCACAAACACCCACAACCGCCGCCGCCACCACAGCCGACATCCCAACCACCACCAAAAATATTAGATTCACGTAACCACCACCGCCAACACGACCACCGCCACAACACCACACAACCATCGCCACCGTAGTTCCACCACACAGACAGCCCCCCCCCCCAACACACACACACACACAGATCCACCACAAGGCTTCCCACTGCAGATCCACCACACGCCCCGTTCGCAACCACACCTACAGCAGATCCACCACCGCCTTTAAATCAAAATTTCAACATTAAATAATGAGTAATGACACTACCTTGACCTGGTGCTGTTCTTAATTTACACAAATCTCCTCCTTATTTTTCACAATTTCACAAGTTCGGGCTCAATCAAGCACGAGACCAGCGGCAATGTTCAGTTGCGAATCTAATTTATGCTTACTTCAATGAGGAGGTCACCGATCTTCGCAAGTAAGTACCTACAGCAGCGTGAGACGCTGCTGCACGTCGCAGCAGCGTCGCTGTAACGTTGCTGCAATTCGCAGCTGGGGGAGGGGGAGCGGAGGAGAGAAATAGGGTTTAGGAATTGGGGGTGGGTATATTTAATTTAATTTAAAATATTATTATTAATATTAATCGTGAAATTAAAAACTGATTTTTGATTAAATAAACTATAAACCTGATTTTCAAAAACATCAAACTAAACACCTGGTTTAGTGTAATTTTCCCTTGTTACACGACCCCTTAATAAATTTATAGTTACCTACGTACTTAAACGGATCATAGATTTAGTAATTGGGTTATATAGTTCACCCTAATGTTTGAGCTTGTCAAAACCTCATCTATGCAGGCCCAATATTTTGCGCTTTTGGATTACTTACTGCACAGTATAGTGGTTAGGGCTTGCAATGTTTTATATTGGGCTTATAAACTTCTGCCGGAGTTATCTAGCCCAAGTTTGGTGTATAGTTAAAAATAAAAATTTTAATAGATTTTGATAAGGTAGATAAAATATAGTTGTGAGTTTCATAAAATAATTGAGTTAAAGTAATTGTTCACTTTGTCGTAGATTTTTTAATATCCATCCAATTCTTATCTTCAACGACTGATGATGCTTTTTGTCAAAATGTTATATTTACGAGATTTAAAATGAGAAAAAAATATTTTGTCACGCTTTTGAATTTATTATTTATTATTAAAAAAATTATCGACAAATAAGTTATTTACAACTCAACAAACTTTTTTGATGAAAACTAGCGTTAAAGACGACGTCTGCAATTCCTAGAAACTTGAAGATAAGAACGCAATAGAAAAAAATTGGGACATAATTACTACTACTAAAAATGATTAAGGACCTTCAATGAAATTGGAATGTGGTGTGAGTATAATTACTCTCTTTACATATTTTGATAATATTTTACTTACAATTGACTAATAATATATCTAGGGTAGGGGAGGGTAGGGTAGGGTGGGGTGGGGATATACCAAGTACAACATGAAAATTTTGGTTACATAAAAAATTGTAAGGAGTACACATTCTTCTAATTGAAATAATTATAACAAATTCGAAATAAACAATTTCTTGTTATTGGAATAATTATGTAACAAGGTGTTGACCGTTCAACTCTGCATATATAATCTAAGGCTAGAAATAAACCTACTTCTGTGATGAATTGCCCTTTGCCATGGATTTAAATGTAGGGATATGCTATCATGCTATGTGTACATAATTCATGTGAGGGGTGTGGACACCCATATGTACATAAATTATGTACATCAAGGATTTTCCTTAAATGTATATATATAGCTGCGTATTTACATGCACTGTAACTACTCCGTACTGTGTAACCAACGCTCCCTTAATTTTAATTCACGGTTGAACGAATTGTTTGTGTATCAAAGCACGTGTCTGGTTCCATAAGTTACGTGCTTCAATTTCATCATTTGCTAGGGCGGAGCAATGGCTCTCATTGCAGTCTGCAAAGTACCGGCCACTCGCCTTTGCCACCTGTCCGCTTAAAGCTACATAACATGTCGTCGCTGCACCCTGTAACGCACAAATATTTAGTTGGTCGAACCATTTTATTTGTCAAAAATGAATCTTCAGTTAAAGAGAAGAGACAGGCATGTGTGGACAAACCTGTGATGTTGATTTCAGCAACTTGGATGCCATAAAGTATAATGAATCTGAACATCAAGTTTCAAGTAAGGCATTGGATTTGACTTATTTTGCTTGATAAGCAAAAAAGCAAGTAAATGGAAAAAAAAGTGATTATGCTTGCATGCGTACCTGTGATAAAGCCTTTGTGATCCCTGATGATGCCAGTTTTCACAATTCCTGGATGTACTGAGTTGATAGTAACATTTGCTTTTCTTGCCTGTAAGATTCCCAGAAATTAAAGGTTCAAGATTACACAAATTTCATAAAATTGTAAAAAAAGTAGCATCAAATCTTGAATCTACTTACGCCGTTAATTAAAGAAGGACCAAATTTATTTATTAGAAATGTTTTCCACATTTGTGAGACAACACAACCTATGCACGTTTCACTTCTTTAGAAGTTTAAGCTTTTAGTTGAGACGATTCGACTTACTTCAACTCTTTCTGCTACAAATTTTTCAATTTTGCACGTGTCAAGTCTTTAGTAAATAATATATTAAGTATACACGTGAGGGAATGTATTGCATTTTTGAAATTTAAATGAACAAATTTGACTATCCTATAATTCAAATAAAACTTTTAAAACATTTTACCTCGAGCTGTTTGGCCAATTCCTTGGCATGCAATATGTTGGCCAGTTTAGTTTGAGCATAAGCAAGAGTGCCATTATAACTGTATGAACCAGAAGAAAGTAATTAACAAAATATGAAATAAGTAAATTATAAGTGATATTTTCATCAAATCTGCCTTTTTAATCATATCAATGTAAGAATTCCTTTACTAAATTCAACTGGACAAAAGAAACTGCAGAATATGTATCAGGATTACTAATTATTCGACCATCTTGTTCTAAGGTTTAAGCAATTAGAAATGAATACATTGTTTATTCACCTTTTTGGATTGAGCATTTTGTTGAAGCAAAAGTTCTCTCTTTTAACCCAGTTGTGAATTACAGAAGACACGTTCACTATTCTTCCTTGGATGCCAGTTTCTGATGCAGTCTCTATCATTTTTCCTAACAGCATTTCTGTTAAAAGAAAATGACCTGCAAAAACAAAAAAACACAAGGAACAAAGAGTTAATCCTAATCTTCCCACTAAATTATTATTTTCTTTCATTTTTTCCTACCTAAACTTTTAGAGAAAATGTTCATACATAAATATAAATGTGTGCACGAGCGCAAGTGCGATTTTTCCATTCTTCATTCTAGAAGGAGCAGAAAAGAAAAGGAAAACCCATGCGCACAAATGATACCAGTACCACTTAGATATGCTAGTGGGAACAAGTCAAGAAAATTTCCCTCCACTACTCAGCCACATCTAATGGTACACCATGGTGGCTTTTCTGTATGAAAGTAAACTACAGAAAATTTGACAACCTTACTATTCAAGTGAGTTGTGGAAAACTCATCCAATTTTTTTTTTTACTTTTAATAGTGTATAGCTCTCTGTATTAGACACAACCCTAATACTATTTTGAAATGGGAGATAAGTAAGAAAAATAATATATTATTTAGTCATCTCTGATATTGCGTATAAATCTACCCTAATGACATGTCCGGTAGGAATAATTTGATAATAATAAACAATACGAAAGTAAGAAGAAAAAGTGTTAAAATCCCGTTCATTATTGTAATTAATGCACAGCAAGCATGTGCTAAGTGTGCAGTGGATGAGAGAGAAGAAGACTACCTAAGTAATTTGTGGCAAAACTCATCTCAATTTTGTCTTCAGAAAACTCCAACTTTTGTGAATATTTACCAGCATTGTTTCTGCACAAGTTCGATATCTACCATCAGTTTCATGTACACCCTTTAATTTTGTGCCCACCAAACCACTCTTTGAAAAGACAACAAAATAAATGAAAAGAAAAGGCCAAAAAAAAAATAAAAAATAATAATAATAATACATACATACATGAGGATATGAAGTGGCAGTCCCAAAGATAAGAACTCAGAACAAAATCTCTGGATTGAGGCAAATGAACTCAAATCTATCTCTAATAAGATTATCTCAGCATTTGGACACTCCTTTTGTATATTTTCCTTCACTTTAGTTGCCTTTTTCAAATCCCTTGCAGGAATAATTATTCTTACACCCCTCTTTGCAAGAACTTTTGCTGTTTCAGCACCTATGCCAGATGTAGCCCCTTGTATCATGCAAAACAATAATTTTTAGACGACGTGGTTCATGAACAATATCGAGCACACAAAGGTCATATTATCGAGTTTCTCTTTTGAATATTTATAAAAAGAAAATTAACATTTATATGATAGACGTGTTGAAGACAAAAGTTAAATAAATAGTTAGATTCCATGTGAACAAGTTAATTGAATAATTTAAGTTAGTGGATCTTAAATATAATTACAATAATTCATATGAGACTTTTTACACTAAAGAAAAAATGATTAGCAGTAATCAATGCTGTCCAGAATGAAATGATCTATTGAGTAAAGACAAAACCATATCTTGTTGAAACAAGAAGATTAAAAAGTATCAATATAAAAATGCAGCATAGCTTTATTGATTGGAAGAAAATCCATAGATTTATCAAAAGATAATATTTTCTTCAGAGGAATTCTGAAATTATATTAAAAGAATTTCCTCACAGAAAATTCTTGAGAAATTTCTTCAAATGAATAGTTAATGCTCTCACAGTATTAAAACTCAGTTGATCTTATTAGTTTGAGAAAATCCTATATTATGTAGAATTAAACTGTATATTTACATAACCAAAGAAAAGTTCTTGAATGTTTTTATATATGCATTTCAATTCCATCATTTTTAGATAGATATTAAATCTGATTTTGAATATAAAATTTTATTTTAAGGCCGATTCTTGAAAATTATCCTTAAAAATGAAAAGAATAAAAGAAGAAGAAGCAATCTTTAGTCTTCTTTTTCTCCGTAAAAGTAAAATGACACCTTTCATCAGCACCCTTGTCTAAAAGAAAATTTGTTCGACATGGTATCAGAGCAAACGCGACTTCTAGATTTGATAATCACTTATAATTCAAAATGCTTATAATCTGGAAAAAAAACTCCTTTTTCTATGTTTAGAGGACTGACCAGTGATAATTGCAGTGAGAGGCGAAGGCCTGGATAACAAACAATCTTGAGTTACTTGTTCAGCAGTGGATTTTGAACCATATCCACTTGGGCCTGCAATTCCTGCCAAGTATTTCAGTGTTGCCTTCATCTTCATCAGGAATTCCCAAGTTAGAAGCCTTACACTGCAAGAGTATTAACTTTTGTGGACAACCACGTAAATATATAGGAGACATATGTGTAACTTTATGGTAATTCCATGCACCCCACTTTCTTCAGAAATTATTACGAACCGACGCGTCATCATGTCGAGTTTTGCGTACTAAACATGTTTTCAATATTTGTCTTAGTTATTTAGGCCTGTATGTATGTTGTAAGTAAAATATATTTTATATTTTTACTTATTATTTATTTATTGATTTGTTTAAATTAGAATGATTTTTAAATGTGAAAATATATGCCAAAAAATATGTTCAACCGATACAGTCCAAAAAAGGTAAGCCAATCAGTAAGGATTGACTGGATACTATAGGTTAATAGATTATTGGATACAATTTTTTAGGATTTCCAAACCTTAAACGAGATACAATATTTACCTACATTGTAGCAGCATATACATTAACATATACTTACCATCTTGAATATGTTTGATTAGTCAAATAATTAAAAGAATGAAAGATTATTTTGATAAATCAAAACTTTCCTTAATTTAATTATTGACCATATCAAACATATTTTATACCGTTAGAATTTGGGTGCGACCCGAATTTTTTGTTGAAATAATTGAAGAATTCTAATTTTAGTGCACGTTAAGAAGAATTTAGTTTGGAATGCTATTGAAGTCCTATGTCAAATTGAAATTCTATTTTGAAAGCCCATTGGGAGTTGAAATTTATTTTGAACTCGATATTTTAGTATTCTACTCCATCAACAACTCTATAGGAGGGTTTGGACATCTCCTACATGTTCCCTATAAATATTAGGCTTTTCTATACAATTTTATAGTGGGAGAAAATAGATTACTAAAATTATATGATCCATTGTAAGTTTTTCTCTTCTCCATAATTCATAAGTCAATAAAATCTCTTAATTCCTCCGTCATATTTCTTGTCTTTATTATTCTTTTACTTGATCTAATACTTTATTATTTGCCATATAACTTCAACAATTCATTTCGGTGGTTGGTTTCATTAGGGATGGCAACGGGGCAGGGGCCCTCTCCACCCCCCGCCCCGCTAAGAAATTTCCCGTCCCGTCCCCACCCCGTTACCCGTTTAAGGCGGGTCTCTCCGTTAAAATTTTTTTTTTTTTGTTTTTGATAATTTATTTTTATTACCCATATTCTTTAGATTTAGACAAATAATTTTAGTTGCTATTTTCTATTAAAGCTAATAAAAATTATAATTGCTTCAAAATGGGGGCCAAACAACCCCTAAATGTACCTTGATTAGTGTTTACATATGATCATACACAATAATTGTGTATGTTGAATTACTTCATTTTCTACATTTAAGATATTAGAGATGAGATGAGTTTATTTGTCCATAGTGTTGCTTCAACGTGGTATCGGAGTAGACTGATGTCGTGAGTTCGAATATATCACCGTTCATTCATGAAAAATGTGTGCATATTAGGTTTACTATAAAACAAAATCAACGTGAATGAACATATTGAATACACAATTTAAGATATAAACTTATCTCCTCTCCAAAAGTTTAACCTTTTATATGTGGTGCTTCGACTATGTATTATTTCGCGAAAAAACCTTTTGTGCTAGCATTACATAGAGAAAATGGCAACTAGGAGTCTTTTAGGTAAAGTGAATGGATAGACGATATTGACAAGCATAATTTATAGCATTTATTTATTTTTATTACCCATATTCATTGAATTTAGACAAATAATTTTAGTTGCTATTTTTTATTAGAACTAATAAAAATTTTCATTTAAAGTATTGAATTCTAAAAAAAAAAAAAAATTTTTTTTTAACGGGGTCCCCAGTTTAAGCGGTTTTCCCAACCCCATTCGGGGCAAGGCCCCGTAGGTATCGAGTTTGTCGAATTTTTTTGTCATCCCTAGGTTTCATTAAGTGGTATTCAAACAATACACTATTTTCAACATTGCTAACATCGATCTGAGTATATCAATATTTCTTCTAACAAGAGATATTTTGGTTGTTTCATAACATATATATATACTGAAATATATATTTACCTTATTGGACTGATTTGATTGGTCAAATAATTAAAAGAATGAAAGATTATTTTAACAAATTAAAACTTTCCTTAATTTAATTATTCACCATATCAAACATATTTTATATTATTCTTACCATGCAAAACTTCGACATTTTAGGTAAGACATGTTCATGCATTGGAAGGGTCCTTACATAAATAAAAAAAATCATTAAGGAACGAATGAATGGTTTGAGAAAAATTTGCTTACGTCTGGTGAACCTGCAGTAGCATGTTATAATGTCTTCTGACCATCTCTAGTGAGTTCCAACTGACTGATATTTCGTTGAAGTATCTCAAGGCAAAAATCATATTTTTTCAATCGTAATTGAAGAGAACACGCTTGTGCGTAAATGATATAATACTGCTTAAAGATCAAGTTACTTGGCGTGAGTTAAGATTGGTGAATCTTAATTCAAGTGGTGGTTACGGTTGAATACAATATTGAAGTGGCGTTAAAGTCAATATCAGAGGGTTTGATTCCATTTCTCCAACAAGTCAATATTAATAAGAAAACGAGGAAGTTGTTCTTTAGTTGTTTTTGATAGTTTTAGTTAATTTTCCGAAATTATTAACCCGAAAAATTGTATTTTTTATTATTTGATAGTTGATTATTTTACCTATGGCATATGGAGCCGTGGATATTTTCCGTTCAGGGTTTATCACGTTATATCTTGTGTTCATCTTTATTAAATTTCGCAATAGATTATATCTTATAAAACTCAAATCTGTTAAGCTGTCCTAGTCAAATCTGTGCGTAAAACTGTTTGTAGGAAGTTGAGCGACTGACATATTCTGACTTAAATGAATAATTGAGACAAATTAATTAATTAACTAGGTTTTAGCACTTACATATACATTGGCACCGTGTTTGATACGGTAGACTCGATAATAACGTGGATGATTTTAAAGGAAAGAAAAATAAAAATAAAAATACTACACATTATATTGACGAGTCTAGTGCAATGAGTCCATTTGGAAGGACTTATATTCTGTTTTTGTGGAAAGAATTCTTGTTAAATTATTTTGGGTTAGTTTCATCTAAAAACTCTTCTAATTAGATAAAACATTTTCAGAAAACTTATCAAACATGACAAAAAGCAACCTTTTAGTACAAGATGCAATTTTTGACTTAATTCAATATATACTAAGCTAGTGTTTGGCCCCCATTATTTTTTTTTAAATTTTTTCTCTTTCTTAATTTTAACCACGCATTCTCCAAATAAAATAATATTACACACAAATCTGAAACTTTCCGTAATTTTTCAACCACACATTTTCTCATCAATCGCTATTCCGAAATTATAATTTCTTCAAAATCGGGGCCAAACAACCCCTAAATGTACCTTGATTAGTGTTTACATATGATCATACACAATAATTGTGTATGTTGACTTCCTTCATTTTCTAAATTTTGAGATATTAGAGATGGGATGAGTTTATTTGTTTATAGTGTTGCTTCAACTTGGTATCAGAGTAGACCGATGTTGTGAGTTCGAATATATCGCCGTCCATTCATGAAAATGTGTGCATATTAGGGTTACTATAAAACAAAATCAACGTGAATGAACGTATTGAATACACAATTTAAGATATAAACTTATCTCCTCTCCAAAAGTTTAACCTTTTATATGTGGCGCTTCAACTATGAATTATTTCGCGAAAAAACATTTTGTGCTAGCATTACATAGAGAAAATGGCAACTAGGAGTCTTTTAGGTAAAGTGAATGGATAGAGGACATTGACAAGCATAATTTATAGCATTTGATTCTATTCAATATTGCGTGTAAAACACACATTAAGATTAGGTGGTTGGTCCATTGACTAGCTGAATTTTTATCTTTAGCATGCAATTGTGAAAGCAAATTGTCATACGTGGTCCGTTTTCTACGGCTAATTATTAATGTCTTGACATAATAGGAGTCTTTTCTTCTTTTGGTGGGATGTAGAGGTTATTATTTTGCTGTTCCAAGTATTATTCATCAAGCCATGGGTAATGCTTTAGTTTTTTCTTTCATTTTTAGGGTTCTATCATGGATTTGGTCGGTCGAGTATTGGATTTCATGACCAAAAATGACTGTTTGGGAAAATATTTTGTTGCATGATTATTAGAAACATATATGGATTTAAAAATCATTAAAGTTGTCTTTCCATTGACCGTAATAAATTGTGATTATTTTTCGAAAAAATTCGAACATCGAATTAAAAAAAAAAAAGAGATCAAAATACAAGAATATAGTAGAAAATGCCCCCACGGGCATGACGCAATGGTAAAACAAGAGTGTTC